CTATTGGGTAATAGTGGGTATGGATACGATGGAACAGACAGCTCTTGTCCTTCTCCAAAGGAATTAGCGACTGTAGGAAAACGTTCAATCCTAAACGGAAAGTACTTCACACGTAGTCCTAGGCAAACCCTCTCAAAAGTCACGAGAGAGATGTCCGGTCATTCTCAAGAAAGCTTCAGCAAACGAATAATTGATGGTAAGATAGTAAAGCTAGGATAATGAATTGTCATCCCTATGCACTCTCGAGGAGCTTACGGTGGGAAGCGATCTGATTCCCATGAATATGAATTCGAAATGTCAAAAAGAACCTACGCCAATGTACACTCTCGCTCGACGTGCTGGCAATCAGAAGTATCACTGCAAAAAGGCCTCTAATCATGGTTGAAAGCTAGACGTCCCGATAGCTATCTGGAAAAATAGTCATTCATCGGAGCTAATCAACTGACTCTAGGATGATAAGCTAGAAATACTTTATTCTGTTGATATATGTTCGATTATAATCATGAACGAATCTCCCATAATATTGTGCCCCCGATAACGAGAATAGCATGAATGAAATCTAAGTTGACAAAAGGGATCGTGTGGGTGATATAGGTTAAGATCCCAGCGTTCCTTTTATCTCAAGATCAAGTCTAGTTCGTGATCCGCCCAACGATTATCGTGTCACTCGTTATAACAACAATGGTTGATTCGAGATGAAATCTTGCGACAATGAAGAAGGCTATACTATTTCAAGAAGGGAGTTGTCTCTATTGTGAGACTGGTTCTTAGCAACGTAAGCTTTGAATGGCGCATTTGACGAGAACTTTTCAGTCGTTCATAAATGAAAGAGAGACAAATCGGCTTCCTGATGTCTATCAAGCCCGGTTTTTGACTCGCTCCAGTACAGAATCTTACTAACTCTGGACAAATGTGAGACCACTCCTTAGAATCTAAAAGTTAATTGGCTCGGACAGTACCTCAACTTGTTCAGCGGTTTCAGACTAGACGTAGGCGAGAAGAGATAGATGTCAGCTCACTAGAGTTGTACAGGCTCGGAATTATTCAAAGAAATATGCAAACAAGTCAAAATTCATTTTAAAACCATGATAAAAGTCGACCATGGTCTATTCTATCTGAATGGAACTCGATATTCAAGGAGCAAACCATTGAGAGAAGAACCGCCATCTTTGAGAATCGTTGGTGCATTGGCTTCAATTTTGCCGTGGAAGATTTGTTCATCCATCTATGGGATTCTGTCTTAAAGTAGTCCATGAGCTCTATCAGCAGACCTTCAGTTACAGTGATGAAATGGCAAGGAACACCGCACTGTACTTGGAGACACAATTGAAAAGGTTTCTGGAATCTTTCTTCGGGATGAGTCCGTGTCCCCAGAGTATAGCAAAAGGGACCATGTCAGCTGGAAAAACAGCCTAGATGGAGCGTAATTAGGCCTCAAAGTTGGCCGAAGAAGATACTCAAAGACAGATCAGTTCCCACAGCGTCGTAGAGACTGTCGAGGTTGTTCCATTCGCATGTTGCGCGCAGGCAGCTTACTGTAGCCACCTGTACGCAACAGCACATGAACGGCCGTCCAACTACTCCTTCCATTCGAATTCTGTTGTCACATTCTAATTCTACTACCTTTTTTTGAAATCATATTTTTCTAGGCAAACCGATTTTCACCTTTCCCTACTGGCTTACCCGTTGTCCGTTATCGGCCAAAACTAATAACCCAATGCCTTCAAGCAACCCACTGAGTTTCTAACTGTAGGCACCAGCCCTATGCCTTCCAGAACTGTTCAGGTATTCATCTGTGATCAGTGATATTATCCGTAATAAATCAGGCTTTTTTACTTTTTAGTTCATTACTGATCTCAATTGACTTTGCTTTCTTCTGCAGGTGCGTCACTACGTAATAACCATTCCAGCGCATGTAAGCTACAACGAAAGTGATAGGTTTCGTCCCAACCGCATCACGAGGATGGATTAATTTTCTTCCTATATGAGCTTACAGTATTATTGGTTAACATTGCTTTAAGTAAATCAAAGTATTCCTCGCTTGAACTGCGCTTGCGTGATCACAAAGCTATAGCTTCGCACTCTTCTCCTATCTTTAAAAACAGTGAAAGACTCGGACTGTCAGAAGTTCAGTATCTCCAGACACATCTGCTTGTTAGTGAAGTCCGAGAGGGATTTACTTTTGAGTTGCTGAGTTTCGAAAATTGCTCGATTATATGTAAGCGATTCCTCTCTTTNNNTGGGGCCCTGAACATCGGTTCGTGGCACACCGTGGTGAACTGATCACCTTTTGATTTAGCGAAAAAAACCAATTTTTCGTTGCCGTTATAAGCCTTACGGGCTGAGTGAAAGAAGAAAGGGAACAAAAGAAAGAGATCTACGGCAAATTGCCAGATATGAGGCAGCCCTGACACGGTCCTTGATGTCTATAGCCGCTAGGACGTGGTCCTCTAGCCTTTCACGCGTTATCTTTGGCAGTGCTGATGCTATCGTAGAGCATGAGCGAAACTTTCACCTGCGAACGACACAGTGAATCGTCTTGCGGAAATTGGCCCCATGAGTTCCTCTCAATCCAATCACGCAATGTAAATATAGTATTCCAATCTTTTCCCCTCTGATCGCTTGGGCTCAAATTCGGGAATTTTCCGTGGGGATCATGTTCTCCTATGGACAGGGAAGGCTCTAACATGGCTGCGTCAACTAGAGCTTTCTTTTCCCCTTTGCCCGCTCGAACGAAGTGACCATTGCCAAATGAGGAAATGTGCAGCAAAGGTCGCCCTTGTTTATTTGAGCCTGCTCCTGAAAAACTCAAATTTCGCTCGTAGCATCTGCTATTCCTACATGAGGAAATTGAGCTAATAGTATTGAAAATCAGTTTTTTATTTTTTTTCAGCACTTCCCGTTCTATTTCGATTTTTTTCACCCCATTTTTGGAGAAGGACAACAAATATACATGTGATGCTGCTTGTATCATTGCCAATACGTAATCGAAAATGTAGATATCAATTGCCGATGCCTACCAAATCATCATGATGATTTCTGTTGTTGTTTATAGAAACTGCGTCGTCTGTACATTACCTTACCCGTATCAAGAAGTACTTTGGTTGAAAGGGTGGAAGGCCAAAATAAAGTTGTGGAGCACTAATTCTATAAGTTTTTGCCACGACCGCTTTATTGCCTTGATCCTTGGTTCCCTCCTTTATCATTCCCACATCTTAATGCTCCGCTCAATGAGAAACTGTCTAGAAAACTTAAATGGAATTCCCAGTGTGGGACTGTTTTCTTTACGCTGGGGAACGCTGAGCTTATTAAAAGGTGTGTGCCATTAAGTCGAACGCCGAGCTCGAGAAGAATTTCTCTGTTGGACTCCCTCCTGGTCAATTTTTCGCTTTTTCCTTAAGCCTTAATTCATAACTACTGTTGAGTTTCTTTCATGACACCTACTCGTTCCTTTTTACTTACAGAATTTATTGCGGCCAAGGAAGTCTTTCGGAAGTTACTCTACTTCTTACTCTTGTATTTCACTACTGAAGTTATGACTTATATTTGTATTCTGTGATGAGTATGAAAGAAGGTCAATTTGCTGCATTGGTATTAGGCTTGGTAAGCTTTCTTTGTTTTTACCGCAACAACCACAACAACAACGACGAGAACGAATGTTAAGTGCTGTGGAGTATAATACGGTCAAGGTAGACTGAGCAATAGAATGTGAAGGAAAACCAACGTAAATAATACCCAAACAGGGATCCTAGTGTGATAGATTCAAAAAAAAACAAATAAACATGGTCTAACGCTAGTTTACATCCTCACATTTTTGCAAGTTCCACCAGAATACCACCGCTGGTAGGTATACCGATACTGTGATCTGGTACATGCGGCTATCTTTACCTCCTAGAGGCATGTTTTGAGAGAATCTTTTGCTCTGAATAAGGTAGCCATTGATATTGCTGAGTATGAAAGGGTAGACAATCGAGGATCAAGGGTAAAAGAAAGTGGATCAGCCTGAACAGTAAAACGATAGATATACACCGAGATTCAGACCGAGATGGCTGCTGAAAGATATTGAGATAGTACCTGTCCTTTTCTGAAAGAGGATTGTGTTAAGTTTTGTGGTCGTTAAACTTCCATGAGATCCTTGCATTGGGCGAACTACTGGCCCTACCGTATGCTGACCGTATACTGAATCTGGAGCAGATTTCATTACCGTCTTAAGAACATGAACAACGGCTGATTGAACGTGAAATAGATGATGTTACTATATCTCTACTTACTTTTTTTTCGAAACACCATTCGATTTACATACTTTCCAATTACAGATATCCTTCAACGGTGTGTTGTGTAACTGTTTCGTATTTATAACAATTCGCCGTATCCCACGAATGGCAAATCCATTTGGACGTATTAGTGCCGGTATAGCAGCAGTCGAAGTAGTTACACTTGCCTTATTTCTACTCTATTTCACTCCGATGGTGTTTTTGTGAGTTTTATGAGTTTATACAGAAGCCGACGGAAACAGGAGTTCTTCAAAGGTATTCTAGGTCTAACCAGAATGAGTCAAATTAGGAAAAATACGAAAATCTCGAATAATAAACAAACAACCTCAAAATTCCTCTTCGTCGACGAAAAGACTGACTCTTAGTAGTAAATGCTTACACCTAATTTCAGGAAGAATCATTACTTTTTTTTAATAAAAGAAGCTCGTGCATGGGAATTAAATTACTGAATTAAATTAAATTCTCAGATTAATTAATTCATATGGCCACTTTACTGGCCTCGAAGGTGAAGCACAGTCCCATGTTTGAAGTACTCCCGATTCTCTTAATGAGCATTTGGGTATACCTTACATTATTCAGGTTAGCCTCTCTCCCTCCCCCCCCTCCCATCTCGGAACTATAGGATGTGATATTAGACAACTTCACAGAATATGAAAGTTTAGAACATGGAAATGCTTCATTAGTATAACTATACATGCTGTTTAGTACGGGAAAATGCTCAGCTTAGAGAGAGCGATTGCTTTGTACTCTTCCAGACTGAAAAGCAACATATTCTTCGTGGCTTTATTCAAAAACTAAAATATGATATCTCGTAAGATGAAGGTCTTAAAAGAGCGTTACATGAGATATGAACTCCTTTGCCACGGTTGGAATACATGAATATGTTCTTGAAGAAGATTACGGAAGTAAACAGCTTCAGAGCTTCAAAATAACGTTGAAGTCAGCGATACTACTGAAGGTATTTTTCAGCAATATTGAGGTATTAAAAAAGGAATCGTATTACTGTGGTGCCTTTATACTTGGATGTTTCCAATACAATGTATATTCACATGTTCTATTATCCTTTAACCGTTTCTGTGCAATATATTTTCCTTTATACTACGGGAAAATTTTTACGTAAGTTTTTCTGATATTCCCTCTAAGAACGCTGCATCAAAATGCACTCTTTTTGGATAAAAAAATTGAAATTTTTGGTGTTTTCCACATTTTACACTTCATTGCATGATAACTGACCTGTACCTGGAAAAGAGCAATTGTGTTGAAGTAGTCCATGAAATCAAGTTTCGTAAGGATACCCATCTGATCTATCCGAGTCTTTCATCCAATCTGTAGGTAAGTTTCCACCAGAATAGGAGCGCTGACTTTACTAAGCAAGTAATCGTACAGGTCGGATAAAGAATAAAGTCTTGGAGTGTCAATCAATCCCTTCTGAAGGATGCGCCCGCGCATTTGACTTCCATTCAGAATGGTACTTAAGTATTGGTTGAGTACGTGGCCTATACAATGACTTGCGGTGATGTACAAGACAGCGCTTCAATCCTCCCAGACGAGTGTGACACAAATTACCCGATCCCGGAGGGATGGAATGGTGCTCAGGCGAATATTGATCTGGGATTCGAACACGTGATCATGCTTGTGTGATAGTGCGCCCCTTGCCACTGCACCACCTCTGCCCTTTACAGTTCAGATATTCAATCTAATGACACCATGATTTTCAATAGAAGCCGAATGCATGGTAGCGTCCTGAATCCAAATGGGGTTGACCAACTTCTGAATCGAGTGACTGACCCTTTTACTCTTAAGTGACTTCTAATCAAGCCCTTCATTCAGCAAAGGCCTTTCTTATTGGCCTTTCGCGAAGGAAAGAACCCGGAGAGATTTGCTTTCGCACGCTTACTGATACTTTTCAGAATGCTGCTTTCGACTGGCCCTCCATCTTTACTCCGCAGCACTTTCGAAAGTTTATACTGTGACATACCCTTTTGTACCAATTTTTCTGAGATCGGACCTGCAAGAAGTACAACACTTACCGGGATCAATCTTTTCTCCCATTCCGCCAGATTCCAGTATTCGTGTTTGGTAAACAATGTAGTCCGTTTGCAGGCAACTATGAAACTGTCACTCATTGTCCAGTTGAGTTTCCAAGGAGCACTTCCCAGGCATTTCAGGCTCAGAATAGGGTTACTGTCGTAAACATTTTGTCCACTGGAATTCGGTTAGGGAGCGAGAATTACAAAGATCAACATGACGACCTCCCCGGTGTCTTTTCGCTATGTGAAAAATGATTCGCACTATTTTTTCAAAATCCTACTTACAAGTTGTCCCATCAAATATACGTATCTTAATTCACCGTCCATTTGCAGGAGAGGAGGATCCTTGAAAATCTAACTTTTCATATGATCGCTTCATTACCTGAACATACATTTCAGGCAAAAATCAACAACAGCTGTCACTATCTTAATGTGCCTGATTTCCGTATTTCCAATACTTTTCCTTTATTTACTTGGTGAGCGATCTTTCTCAATTCCATTGAAATTACGAACATAAATGTTATTTTGGTAGAAAAACAAAGGGGAATACAAAATGTAAAAATGTTATTATCTTTGTGAACGTGGTGGTGTATCAAAGAAATGTATGGGAAGCTACTTTATTTATTTTTCGAAGAATAAAAGAAGATAATCTGTTACCTCGGAGCGAAATAGGGGGAAACGATTCACCTTTTTTTGAGGCACGTCTTTTATGCGCTCAAAGGAGATAGGGTATTTTTCTCAGCACTTGGTGAGATCGCCGTCGTTGCTATCACCGAGAGATTGATGAGATGTGGACTGCCGCAAGATCGTTATGGAGCCAAGTACATAAGCTGCGTTACGTCCGAAGCTTTGAAGGCTCTAACACATTCCGGACTTCTCCTCGACTGATCTCCCTGGCTGTCCATGTATGCGGGTGTATTAAATATGTAGCTGGGAATATTCGAAGTAAGGGAGTAACTGAGAAAATGTGCAACAGGAGGAGAAGGGCCAAAGGGCCATCATTGACGCTTACAATGAAAGTAGGCGAACTCGAAAGATTAACAGTGATCCTTAGTAGATCCGAATCGAGTTGCCATTTGGCTTTCCCTCAGTCCCATGGCAAACTGCAGAGCGGTTTAAGGTGAGTCTCTAGGCAGGATCACATGGCGCGCACTGCCATGCACCCTGTGAGACCAAACGAAGCACTCGACTGAAAGGGAAGCATTAATATGAGGGGATACTGCATTACCAAAATCGAGAGTAGACAGAAAAACCTTCCGGGTAGCCCCGCAAAATATTTCCATTGTTCTCTTTAACAAACGTAATATACGTACTATCTGATGTGTAGTGCTGTACGCTTTAACGCCAAGTTTGGTTACATTTGATAGGGTGAGACTATAATTTCTTGGAATTCCATCTGGCAACACATTTTGAGCCAGAGCCTTGCAATCCATCCATTTCAGGAAGTTGTCGTTTTGAGTACTTTGACGATTATTGGAGATTCGGATTTGCATATAGTGAATCATGTGAAACGATCCCTTTCCCGACAAATGTTGAAGCATTTGGAGCGAGCACTCTTATTACTGCATTTTTGGATTTTGCAGCAATCTACCGAGTTCGGGTATATAACAAAGAAGTGAGTGCTAAAATAGTGTTGAAACATCGTTGAGAATAATTGATAAAGGATAAATCCTGGGGCGTTGATCAGTCCCGTCGGAGAGATTAGCCCACGCATCCAAATTCCCGGATACCGATGCGGGATTCGAACCCACGACCACACGTGCCATCTATCAAGCAGGTTATGATAAAAAGCAGCCATAGTCCTTTTCTTCACTCTATTAATCGATGCATTTCAATCTGGAATTAATATCAGCTTCTCAAAGCAGGTTAGGAGGATGGTACAGAAATCTTCAAGAAGAACCAGAAAAAAAATGTCTGTCAAAAAAAGTCCTCCGCAATCCCACATACAGATAGCCAAGTGAATGAAGTACTGTTATTCTCGCTTAAAGGCACAGTTCACGATAATTTTGGGTAATCCAGATTATGATGGAAAATGGAAGCCAAGATCGAAAATAGTGCGATGAAGGTGAAGAAACTGCGTGAATCGGTGTTTCCGAAATGGAAAAACGCTTTGAAAACCGTTAAAAAGGGGGCTGGACGAGAATGAGACCAAAAAATTAAGAAGAGTGGGGCGTTTGGGTGAGCTATACAATGTGGGTCAGTGCGAACGTGAGGGTCCTGGTGCAAATAACTGACTACGGTAGGCAAAAATTCATCCACTCATGAACAAAGTTAACAAAAAAAAACCCTAGTACCAGCGAAAATAGCCCACCTTTTCCAGCCTCTCGTGGTAGAAAATTAAATAAGGGATCGCGGCAGCAAAAAAGAATAACAGGGGAAAAAGAATGGGAGAAATAATCGCTTCATCACTCAGCAATCAACTGATCGTGTGTGGGTCCTAGAACGAATAGTTGCAATCTGTATCGTCTCGACACTCGTCTAACGTGACATCGATCGAGAGGCGGTGGAGTGGAGCTTTCCCGTCCCTCGAATTATCGTGAACTGTGCCTTTAACACCCTATAAGAGCTCTGGTCGGCCTGATGCACGGTGTACTCTCGTCCCTGAGGGCTGATTCCGCTGGTCTAGAACTCCGATCAAGGCGATTTCGCCGGAACATTAGCCAATGTTTGTTTTTGCCAACGCATTTGTTACCGACCTACTGAACTGTCAAGCTGAATAAAACTTCTATTGTAACCTTATAAAACAATTTTTCAGATTGGAAGCTGCCATCTCAGCAAGTACTGGAGCTCAAGAAGAAAAAATGATGAAGTGAATTTTTTGAAGCAGGTATCGTCTTTATTAAATATTTCTACGTCTCCAGGTTTTGTGCAAACCCACAGTTTTCCAAATTTTTGCCATTTTACACTGAAAATATAATGAATACAGTGTAGTGTCTTTTCGCAAAAAGTCGGACTGACTCAAACGAATGTTACAGGCATCATCGCGAGCTCTACTTTTTACAGTGGGAATTATAGTGTATTATTTTCTGCCATATTATTTTACTAGCCGATGGGTCAAGTTCCTATTTGGTCCCGTGAACTGGGTATCTGTCTTGACCGCAGATGGGTGAGTGAGTTTTTGTGAGTGCAGATTTTTCAGCAGCGCAGCGAACCCAAGTTTTCCAAGTAGGTTCTTTAGTAGGTTTTTCCCACTGTCTTCATTTTACAAAAACTATTCAGTAGAAAGATCAAATTCCCAAAGCTCAATGCGGTTCCCGAAGAAGGAAGTGGGGAAAAGGTGTTCTTGGGTAGATAAATCGACACCTTTTTGAGATTTAACTCGTGAAAAATTTTTGCAGTTTAATCACGATCATATACAGTCGCGATCTCCGTCCTAGTTTCAAGAGTCAAGTATCACGTGAGTCCCAGTTGCTTTCTATACCAGTCATCTCTTGTGTTGAAGGATTCTGATCTGAGACAGAGCTTACCATGTTTCCAGGAGCACCGCAGACAGTGTTTTGAAGAGCTTCAGGAAGAAATAGCTGTTCTAGGAGGCAGAAGAAGGTTTTTGGGTGCTGAATGTAATATTTGCCGGATTTGTATGAATTATTCTGTAAATAAACTATCTGGAAATTCTATTTTCATTTCTTGTGGATTTGCAAATTCATATGGGTCTCTTCAGAGCTTCGGAGCACGTCTCTGGCTAGAAGTCCTACAACGTTTGTATGGATGGGCGGCATTTTTAATGAACCTTGAGTACATGTTACCCAATGAAATTCCACTGTTCGGAACTAAACCCGGCAGGGTAAACAACTAGAAATATTTTATTATTAATAGACAGTTTTAGCACACGTTCATGAAAGAACATTTCTCGCATTGGCAAAAAGTTCCCCGTCGCTCATGAAGTCGGCACGAGCAGACGTAAATTCACAACGAATTGTGAATTGAATGTCTGTTGTACGGCACCTGAAATCAAGGGTTCAGGTGGCAGAGAACTCCAGTATTCTCAATGAATATCACCCAAAAGTAATCCCATTTTATGAGATTACCATACTGAAAATATTTATGTTGTAGAATTGGTTTCTTCATAGTTACCCAGAAAAAGAGCTCATCTGAGTTTGCGCTTTTCCGATATGAACGTTTTTGGAATGAAGTTCTGATCTGTGTCCACAATCTATTGAGTTGTAACATAAGTTCGTAGAGTTTTGCGTTAGAGTTACTTTACAGCGAATATTTGGTTTTTTGGCAAAGTGCATACATTCATTTGAAAGGTGTGGGTGGCCCCAGGGAAGGCGCCAAAGCCGAGAGTCAAGCAAGATCTTCACCCAGAAAAAGGTCATGATCTGCGTTTGGTGGGACTGGGTAGGCATGGTGCACTGGGAAACTGCTCGAACGAAACTCCACTGTCAACAAGGAGGTCTACATTGCCCAGCTGAACAGTGTAAATGAGGCTATTCGGCTGAAAAGACCTCATAGAGGTGGTCAAGTCATCTTGCTCCACGACAACACCAGGCCCCATATTGCTCAAGTCGTCAAAACAGCACTCCAAGAGCTTGAATGGGAGGTTCTTCAGCATCCACCGCACTCTCCGTATCTTGCACCTGCCGACTATCACCTTTTCCGCTCTATGTTAAACCAAATGAGGGGTGTTACCTTCGACGGCGAAGGGGACCTTGAAAACTGGCTCATAAAATTCTTCGACACCACAACGGCCGATTTTCGGCGAATCGCCATCAACAAATCGGTCGAGAGATGGGAAGAGGTCGTGAACAGTAACGGAGGATACATCATTGGTTAATTTATTATTATAATTATTGTTTTTTGGTTCAGATAAATCTTTGTGAAAAAACTCTACGAACTTATGTTACAACCCAATACACAAACATTCTTAACTGATATCAACTCACTTCCCCTCCCTNAACAAATTGGTCGAGAGATGGGAAGAGGTCGTGAACAGTAACGGAGGATACATCATTGGTTAATTTATTATTATAATTATTGTTTTTTGGTTCAGATAAATCTTTGTGAAAAAACTCTACGAACTTATGTTACAACCCAATACACAAACATTCTTAACTGATATCAACTCACTTCCCCTCCCTCCACATCAAGAAGTTCTCTCCGCGTTTTTCAAGACGATAAGTCAGATGTGTGAAGCAATCTCTGTAAGGAATCAGAATATCAATTTCACTCGCTTATAGGAAATCCTGAAAATTCAGAAACTCTTACCTGTGGTTCTGGGGATATCTTGTGATACGGTATGCAGTAGCGGCTCCGGGGCAGAGAATGTTGCAATAGTGACGAGGTTGCCCATTGGAGTCTTCCTTAACGTATTATTCAGATTTTGAGGGAAAACAAGACAACGCTTGAAAGATCTGGCAACCAGATCATAGTGCTACGGTAAAGAAGCTATTGCCAGTGAATTACTCTGCAGATAGATGAAGGAAATTGACAGGTTTCTCGTCATGGTGGTTCTAGTCGCAGGTCTAGCTTCCCTGGGCACATATTTGACATATTTTCCACAGGTTTCTATCAAGCCTTAAAAAACGTCAGCATTAAAAAACTTCTCAAAGCCATTCCACCCCGAAGGCGAGTAAATCTTGTCGTGAGAACAAGTGCTCTTGCTAGTGTATTAGGTTGAGTCATAAGTCCTCGGACAATGTGATAGTGATGACTTCTAGCGTTCATAACTCGGGAAAGAGGTGACGAAAATGAGCGCACAAGGCATCTCTAATCAGAGTATAAAAGCTCTTCCAAATACACTTTACAATCACACTTATCTGTTTCCTTTCCTGCAACCATGTCTCATGATTTCGAGCCTTTGCAACTCCACCTCGGCAACACCATCCTATTTCTTTTTTTATCTGGCCATGAACCAGCGGCAACTGATGGAAATATGGAGGAAGCTCACAACGAGGACCTTGCTGCTAGCAGCACAGTTTCCAAGAGGCTCTCGAAGTTCGCGTCGTCTCAATGGAGTTGGATTTGGACGTGCTGCGGAGCCAGGTGCAAGCCGATCCATTCCAAACTACTCGTGAATTGGCAGTCACTCTTGGGGAGTCAGTTTACAGTTATTGGTGGATTGAAGTCAATCGACAAGGTGCGAAAGCTCGGTCCATGGATGCCTCGTGCTTTGATGTAGTATGACACAGACCGCCTCGACGACGTGGCACTTTCTCTCCTCACGCTAGAGGGCAACACACGTAGCTCGAGTACCTAATCACCAGGGTTGCGAAGTCGATCCTCTACTCTAACGTACACCGGCGTGCTCAATGGATTGACAAAGGTGCGGATGCAGAAGACTCCCCCAAACCCAACGTACACGCCAAGGAGGTTAGGCACTAACTCTGGTGGAGCATATACGGTGTCGAATAATGGGAGCTGCTAGACGAAGGATGCACAGTGACCGTACACGTCTACATTACGCAACTTAGAAATATGAAGGCGAATCCTAAAGCTACACGTCCACAGCAGGACAAAGTTTACTTCCAGCATGACAACGCTCGCCCTAACATTGCAAGAACAACCAAAACTGAACTGACGAATCCCGGCAGGACAAGTTTACCACACCAATCATGTTTCTGAGACTTGGACCCCTCGGATTACCACCTTTCTTCCATTCTTCAACGTCATGGATGGTCAGGACTTTCAAACCCGCCACAACATCATGGCACTGGAGCAGTTCTCCAAGGCCAGCTCCCAGCGTTCTAAAGCAAGGGCATCTACGATTCGCCCAAGCATTGGCAGAAGACCATCGATGCCAATGGGACATATTTCGAATGATCCGCTATTGTCGATTAAGAATCGTAAGATAAAGATTATCGTTGCCAATTCGTCCGAGGACTTATGACACAACCTAACAAAAGGAGCTGCTCGTTTGTGGGTACTGTAAAGTGATTATGGCTATAGATAACGTGTGATGTTCAATTGTGGTACATGCATCCTAGAATTGATCATCTACTATTAAAGGGCACGAACTGAGGAGTCTGTACTCAAAGAACTTCCCCAATATACTACATATAAATTCATTCACAGGAAAAAAGTTCACTAGCTTCCAAATCGAAGCAATGTCGTCGTAGAGGCGAGGGAGAGTGAACATGAGCTTTTGGCTTGTAATTTTTGGTGCTTTCGTACTAGGAAACTTTCAAAGACTCCTATGTCCTTTTGCTTTCCTTGAGCTTTCATGGCTCTGATGACGAAATCTTCCCAAAAACTCGTGCCACGCTTAGATATGCACCTCAGCTAACAACACACAAAGGTGGTGTTCAAGGGAGAAAAATCTCTCTGAGACATTCAGGGGTGAAGGATAAAGATTTCGGCGTTGCGCAATCTTGTTTTGAAGTATGCCTCCCTCACTTACCTTCTATTCAGAATCGTAGTGGCATTTGTAAGGGTCTAAGGCCTACACAACGACTTGCGGTGACCAGGCGATGTCTAGACTAGTGCTTGTATTAGTCTACATACCTATCCCGGAGGGACATAAAGCTCGGTTGGCCAAGCGAAAACTATGGGTATGAGGTAGTCTGACCACCTTACCCCATCTAAATGACTCATAGCGACAAAATGATTCTGAAAACAATAGAAAATATAGTGTAGCTAAGTGTTATTCCTGGAATGGCCTTTTATAATACAAAGCTTAGCTACATTCGAGTTAGCAACAAAGCGTATAGGTTACCGTAAAACCAAATGGAATTCAAAGAAGGTTAAAGAAACAAATAGATTATAAAATTTGTATTAATTTCGCTTACATCGAAACAAGTGTTCAAAGGCACTTTTCTGCCATTCTGATCATTTTCGCTCTCCTTGAGTAGTACTTCACAATCCGAAGCTTCCTTATTGTTCTTTTCGTCTTTAGTTTTACAGATCAGTTCTCGCCATTCTTAAAAGAACATATATGAGTTCTATGGGATACTCAGGACTGTATACTGTCGTGAGTTGGTTCCTTCACAAATCAAACGTTACCCCTTGTCGGCAGCTCAACACCAGTATCAGAAGCTTTCAAAAAAGTGATGACTAATGAAAATCTTCGAAATTACACCACAATGAACTCCTGGGAATGTCATTTCCGAGGAAGCTGATGTCCGTTGCAATGAACAGTTTGATGTCACGAGAAAAAGGGTTTGCATTGTGGTGATTGTTGGTCCAGAGTGACTACTCACGGCGTCTCTGATAGCGGATCACTCTTTTCGTTAAGAGCTCTCATGGAGAATTCAAACCATCGGACTCCCAAGACGTCAAAAGAATTCTTCGACATTTGTCTGTGCTATGGTCAATCTTCTCCACGAAAGCTCCGAACAAAACAGTGGAATTCTTTGCGTTCCTTGAATAGGGAGGGCCCAGAGCCCACTGAACTGCACTGGCTCGCACCAGAAGACTCTACGGAGCAGGTCAATGATTAGTCGGACTGCAGGATGGTGCAGGTGTTAGAGAGAAGAGTAAGACTTACGCCAATGAACTGACTCAGCGAATACGCTGGCGAACAAGTAGAGTAATAAAGCATAGCGGAGCATTGTGATAATGAAGGGAGACACGGATATATGGAGATTTAAATAACTATCGTTGACGGAAAACTTGTTCAGGGAGAGAGAAAGCGACACCCTGTTTCGCCGAAGTAACCCGAGTTGTGATGTTGTTTCGTTGCCTGTAAAACGAGATATGATAACGGAGTGGTCATTTCCCGATTTTGGCATCATCTACAAGTCTACAGTTGTTCTCTCCCTTCTCTCCACTCATCAACAACCGATCAGTAGGAAGAAAGATATGTTTCAGAGATGGGGAAAATATTGTTTTGTGTTTATTGGTTAACAGCACTTTTTAATACACTAGCTCAGGACCCTTGAATCGATCACGACCTATATTCACGGACGGATGTGTCAGAAGTGGCGAATTCGATCAAAATAGCTTTCAATACCAAGCACTAGTCGGAACCCTACCACTCTTCTGTTCATTGCTAGAAAATTTAAGGTAAGGGGGCATTATCCAAGGATGATTTTGATTTTCCTATCGTTCTAAATGACTGAAACTGCGCAACTAGCGGTAGTTTTATTACCTCCAACAACGATACGTGAAGTTCGTCTTACCTACAGGGCTGTTGGGGGGACTGATGCGTTTTTTGAAAGGGTCGCGAACCAAACTCTGAGGTGTCTCAGGCTCTTTCTATTGAAAGGCTTCATGACAAGTGGAAATCTGGAAGGAGTAACAACCTTTCAATACTTCTATACCGTGCCCGAGATGCTTAAGAGCTTGGTTTGAGGCTCTTTGAAAGATAAAGAAATCAACAATGTCTTAGAGAGTCCCATGCTTCTCAAAACTCTACACTTCTCAACCGTTCAAAGTTTGTGAAAATCTTTTCGCCATCTACAACACAATACGGAAGGGCTGGAACTACGGTAACGACTAATTCTTTGCGGTGCTGAAATTGTTGCTGTGAATTGGATTGATGAATGAAGAGTTTTCAAAAATCAGTCCACAGCTATGGAGCGGAGGGGACCTGTTAAGTCTTTGACATTAACTAGGATCTGTTAAGTCTTTGACATTAACCACTGCCTTTTCGAGATGCGTCCTGCACTAGATTTCCATCAAGGATCGTAATAGCATTTCGAATGCTTATGAAGCCTATACAATGGTTGGAGGTGGCCAACTCATGTACTAAACAGTGCTGTTATCCTCCTATCACCGTCGTCTACTACCCATTAACCAACCAAAAAGAATAGAAGATATGATCCGCGTAGGAAAGTATCGAACCTTGATTCGGTCTCTGTTCCATCGCTATGTGAGGTGCTCCATTTTCCAAACTTCCCTCATCCTAAAAAGTTTTGTGATACCGTTGAAAAGGTTTTTCATAGAAGCCCCCGAAGCTCGAACAGCTATGTATGGCATGGTCGACCATTCGAAATGGCAAGTACACCTTTCTCTTGATAACTTCAGCATGTACAACAGCACGTAAGCAACTTAGTGCAGAAATTGGTCTAATACTCTTTTGTTATCACTTGGATTGAATGTGATTAGGCAAATTGTCTGTGGTACAAGTTTCTGCCATAACAATTAATTGTAGCCTTCATTTTTTTTTCAAAATCCGTGAAACAGCTCGCTCCATTGTAGTGCCTACGGTATCGGGAATTTCACTAAAATTACTTCTTCTGATAGTATTCGCTGATTTTCGGGCTGTATCCGAAACTGATCAAAAACATGGGATACAGACTGTACAGTTCAGTAAAAGAGTTAGATGGCTTCCGGTTGAGTAGAAAAATTGTCTTTCCATTTTATGAACGGACTTCTTTTCTCGCAAGCAATGCTATTCACAATTGTGAATTAGGCTTCTGAGCGGTGCAACTGAGACGTTAACAGCACTTCATTCGATTCTTGTGTCGGTGCTTCATAATAGTGGTTTACCCTCTTTGAACTTCCCCAATAGGTTGAAATTGGACTGGATCAAATGGTTTCTCGATTGCTTTTGTCTATCCAGGATCCGAAGAAGGTGAATGCACTGAACGTAAGCCGAATGAGGTGGTATAAAACTCAATCATAGCCAAAATCCGCACAGCTTAAGAACTCAACCCACAATTTGGAAGAAAATGCAAAGATTTATTGAGAGTCGAGCTTGGTTTATTAACAATTGCTCATGTTTTTGCATTGTTTTGCACTTGGCTTCGTTTATGAATTTACGTTTGGCTGTAGGAACTTTCTAGTGGATTCGAACATCAATTGATCTTCCGCTGTTCGAGCTGTTACTAAATCAAATGAACACTTCATACATATGTAGTAGTTCACTTTCCTTCACGTAGCTACATTTTCATTTTCATTTTCATCCCAGTAATCTCACGAATCTTGTAATATTCTATCGGTAACGCTCTAATTCCTAGAAGACCTGTTTTCTTGGGCATAAGTGTACTTTTCATGGAAATGTTGATGGTACGGTTTTAAAAAATCTTTTCTGCCGCCTTCAAAAAAACTATGGACAACAATGTATAAAGCAATATGTAAGCCAATAAAGTTCACAAAGGACCAAAGAGTTTCTGTAATTCATCACAAAAAAAAATATTGTCATCATAGTTTTTTCAAAGCAACTTTCACGGAAATCAATTTCCTACCTTTTTAGGTACCATAGCTTTTTTCGGATGCATCAGTAAGGCTCTCACAATGGTTATTGGCGTTGCTAGTCGGCTATGACGCATTTTCTGAGAGATTTCACTACTGTCAAGCTTAACTCACAAATCTTCCTCATCTAATCTGAATCTGATCTAGATCCGACCTGAAGTTATTCTATGCCTGAATGTAGAAGTTTTTTTTCGACTTGCATCTACGGTTTGTTTCGTCTGGGTGGACAGAGGCACTAGCTTGCTGGCCGGCCGCCTCTAGTTACTGCTTAGCCCACATCCGCGTTCAAAACGTCGTCACTACAATTCTAAATGGCAGTCAAATGCGGGACGTATCCCTCACACGGGATTTATTATGCCCAAAGAGTCTACAGAGTGCGTCAAAATTATGATGACACAGATATCACATCTCCGAAAATGAATAGAAAGCTAATAAAACAAGCCAATTCCAAAAAAGTGTTTACCACTCCTATTAAGATGGTGCACTGGAACTGACATCTCTATGCTTTCACGTAAGCTCCGAGAGGATAATAGAAGGAGTCGTCGACGATCTGTAATCACGAGTTAATCACGGCTTTTTGCGATGCCTACTTCAACTCTTACTTGGGCTAACGCATGCTTTTATTTCCAAGGTTGATCACACTGAAACATCAATAAGTTTGAGGTCAAGGCTTCTAGGTGGACCATTGATTGAAGGTTATGAAGTCGGGGAACTTCTCTTACTGAATCCTTTACAATTTCTGATCTGCGTACAGGAGCTAAATCCTGACTATATTTCCGGTTCGAACTGCCGTAGTGTTAAATCGCGCACGACAAGATCAAGAAAGACTCCGTATTACCGTTGACCCCTAACTTTCAAAGATTAGCGATGTCCTCCTTGACGTCAATGTCCGCAAAGACCATCAAGGAAGTTGAGCAAGCTTGGCGCCGTATCCCTGTCTTTTCTGTCGACTTCGCACAAGTCCTGTCGTTCTCCTAATTGAATAGCTTTTTCGGTGTGAATATCTTTTGTCGGTGTACACAAATTCCCTATGACGATTTTTTCGAAAACGGCGTGGCAGCTCTTGTGAACTAACATTTCTCTTTTCTTTGGCTTGCTCGCTCGTGGAATCATTTGCTGGCTGTATAAAAACCCGGTTGTACATATGAGGTTTCTACAACCTGCAGTTCTTCCCAACTATTAAAAAACGTCTTGTGGTCGAATACCACCGCCCTTCTTACATAGGGTCGGGTGAAGATGTCCCGTGCCAAAAGTATGTATTCGTAAATGCAAAGCGATGATTGATTCAAGAGGTGGTGACGCTTCCGTTATTTTTAGGAACTGCCAGAAGTTCATTACCACTAGGAAGGAAATAATGTAACTGCCCTGTAAAATGCAAGAAACCGAATAAAATGTTACCAACTCGAAAAAAAATGTTATGAGCGTCTTCGCGCGCTGTCATCATAATTTTGGCCCACCCTTTATACTTTGACCGTCTGTGGTATTACACGGTTACGCTTCCTTTCATAATCTCGCCGAGATTTACGACAATTCTATCTTTTCTCGTTTCAATAACATACTGATTACGTCACCCCTCGTCAATTGAGAATTTCGATGAAAGAAATCATACTCCGATGAAGAAACTCCAATCACGATCACCTGTATCACCTGTCGTCCCGTTGATCATCGACTTCCTCGAGCGGGCGCCAGTAACGTCTCCATTCGTCCCTGGCACGAGCCAGAGTGGTCCAGTAAATCGTCCTCGCTTCAGGAACAGAGGTTCAACATTCCTCGTTCAGAGCTTTC